GATCGAGTTCGAAGATGAGCATTCTAGCTCATAAATTGGATTTTTAAAAAATCAAAAACCACAGGTCCCAAAAATGAATGTTTTTAAAAATATTTTTTTTCTGGTTTCCTAGGGGGTAACTCATCAAAGTAGAGCCCTTTGGGCGAAAATTTTGTCCGTTTTGCTCTAGCTCCAACCATTTAGACGCTAGCGGGTATTTGTGACGAAAATAAGCGAAAAAATGTACAACCATGCATGCTTAGAGGCCCGAATTTTTGAGTACATTTTTGCTCTACCCGACTCGGGTGTCAGCGCCGCAGGCCAAGGTAGATGTATGCCAGGCGCGTCGCAGCGTAACAGCGTTTCGTGAGATATCGCGAAGCCTGTTACGCGAGACGTGGTCTGGCGTACATCTACCTTGTTGTTATCGAAACTGAAATGGTTTGTTGTCAACATTCTCTGTTTTGCCGCGTAACAGGTTTGCTGCGACGCGCCTGGCGTACATTAAGGTAGGCCTGCGGCGCTAAATCCCCCCGTTGGATAGAAGACAGAGTCGTTAAGAGGCCTCCGACGACAATAGTCGAAACTCTTGGTCCCCAGATTTGGATTTTGACGAATTACCCGATCGCAGACCATCAAATGTGCCAGGAAAAACATTTATTTGTTTTTGAGCCATTTTCGTTTGAAAAGCCACCTCCAGCAACCAAACGGTTGGAGATAGAGCCGAACGGACAAAATTTTGGCCCATTGGGTCCTATTTTGACGAGTTACCCCTAAGAAGACCATATGAAATATTTAAAAATTTGCAATATTTTCCAAGTGCTTTCTCAATAGCCCGTTCCCGGCCAATTTTTAAGCTAGAGAGCTCAAAATCAATACAGTTCTTGCTTTTTATGATACCAAAATACAATAAAAATTTGAGCCTTCTACCTCGAACCGTTCTCGAGTTATCGTGCGAACAGACAGACAGACAAACAAACAGACAGACGCGAAACTTTTTGATCATCACTGGAGTAATAGGCTTCGCTATCGCTCAGCCAAAAAGCAGGCCCGCCCTTCCGCCAAACGGAGTTGCCAGTTCCGCTCAGAGACAAAGAGACCGAGCGTTCCTATCCCTATAGCATGGGCCGCAACGTGTCGATTCCCACATCGCTTTTCGTCAAAAAAGACCCTTTAGCGCCTACACGGTTAGAGATAGAGCAAAACGGACGGAATTTTAGCCCAAAGGGCCCTACCTTCACGAGTTACCCCATAGGAGAACATAAAAAAACTGTTTGGGAGAATTTTTGAACCTTGGGTACCCCCATTCACACCCTAAGGGGTGGTTGCCAGGATCTGCCGTAGGCGTTTCGTTCTATAGGAGTGGACTTTAAGATACCCTGAAAATTTCAAGTCTCTAGCACATCTCCTTCTAGTGGAACAGACAGACACACAGACAGACATGAGGTCGTTTGCATAAGCCCGCTGGATAGCTTTTTCAGAGCAGAAGGGCGGGCTAAAAAGACAGATCGAGTTCGAAGATGAGCATTCTACCTTATAAGCAAAGTTTGAGTTTAATTTGGCTAGCCGAATGATAAGTGCGGTGAGTGGGTGAGTAGCCAAAATGATATAAGTTTAGTGGGCGCCAGACAGCAGAGCTGGCCCCAAAGCAAAGCTATAGATGAAGAAAAAGTTGTGGATTGACACTCAATAAACATTTATTCCAAGTAGACAAACGAGACAAGTACAACAAGCACAAACACTAAAGTACTATGCAGTACGATGCAGAACAATGCTAAACTAGTAGTAGAATACTACAAGAACTCCGAAGAGACATTACATTGTTCCTTAGAAAGGTGTGAGCAGACCCGACCAACGCTGCTCACTGTGGCGATCAACCTAACTCATAAAGCTGAAGCTAACACTAAACCAAGATCTTAATAATCGCCCCGATTAGAATGTAAACACAACAAGAAAACATAGAAAAACATAGATGAACATTTAAACATTTAATAAAGAGACTAGGTCTCAGAACACTAAGGGGATAGACATATATACTAGCTATATGTACGCCAGACCACGTCTCGCGTAACAGGCTTCGCGATATCTCACGAAACACTGTTACGCTGCGATGCGCCTGGCGCACATATAGCTAGGCCTGCGGCGCTGACACCCCAGACGAGTTAAATTTTACGATTTAATAGACCATTTTGTCGTTTTCACCTTATTTTCGACAAGAAATGCCCCCTAGCACCCAAACGGTGCGAGATAGAGCAAAACGGACAAAATTTTTGGCCAAAGGCTTCTACTTTCACGAGTTACCCCTTAGAAGCCCATAAAAAAATATTTGCAAAAAATAAATATTTTGCAACCTGTGGTTTTTGATTTTTTAAAAAGCCAAATTTTGAGCTAGAATGCTCATCTTCGAACTCGATCTGTTTTTTTATGATACAAAACGACCCTGAAAATCCCAGGTCGCTATCTCAATTCTTTCTCGAGTTATCGTGCGGACAGACAGACAAACAGACAGACAGACAAACAAACAAACAGAATGAAACTTTTCCGGTCAGTGGAGTAATGGGCTTCGCTAATCGCTCAGCCAATCAACAAAACCAGCCCGTAGAAACTCCCACTGTTCGGCTGATACCATCATCGAGCGAGCTTCGCGGAGCCGTATTTTGCAAACGTTATAACAAACGAACGGGAGGGTCTTTAGCTCTGAAACCTTCTCTCTTTTACTCGTAATCATTGTCTTCGTGGCTTAGGAGGGTGGTCGTACCTTTACTCTTTCGCAAACTCGCA